AGATGTGGCCGTCCAGACACGCCCATTTTTCTATCGTCCAATCAGATCCGGCCGGCCAGAAACGCCTATTTTCCTATCGTCCAATCAGATATGACCGCCCAGATACGCCCACTTTCCTATAGTCCAATCAGATATGAGCGCCCAGATACGCCTTCCGAATTTGCCTGCAGAGACCCCTTCTTGTAACATGGCGGTGGACGGCTGCATCTTCCACAGAACCCTGGCCCGGTCCAGACCGGCTCCGAACAAGGTCAGAACTTTGTCATGTTCTCACCGAACCCGTCCCGGTCAGCTGTGTTTATTGGTTCTGTTGGATCTGCCACGTGCGTACGCGTTTTCGCGCCTTCATCCAGCAACTTCCACCAGACTTCGTTTAAAAATGGTCCGATTTAACGAAGATTAACCCGCTGCTCTTTTTACCCGCTTCTATGGAATTCAAGACAACAATAATAAATATAAATAATTGTAATGTAAAAGACATACAAGCCGAATTCACTATGGGATCATAAAGTTTCATCTGAAGTATTTTAGTTGTAATCTTGGCTAAATAACAGACAAAATATTAACATTTTTGAAAAAGAAAAACTGAAAAGTATGGTAATCACTATTCTTTAAGAAATTACGGTTGACTGCTAGAAAACTCATGTCGAAATTACTAAACGGGTTTATGTTGGTGAAGTATTTACAATTGAGTTTAATTTGTAATTTTATTCTATAATCCATACAAAATTCCTAAATTTGAATATTTCCCTATGAGGTTTGGAACGGGGAGCATTTAGACATCACTTTCCCTTCACAGCCTGAAAAAGGCATGACTGATTAAATCAATCAACCTTTATTTATACAGGTAAATCATTTGGTCTGGGTGTATTTAGTGCTTTTTTGAAACTTTAGGTTTCAATTTAATCAAATATAGTTGCTGTTTTATACTCATTGACGGTCTGTCAGGGTTTTAAAACAAATAATAATAATATATAATCCAAAAAAGTTCAATCTGGTCCTCTGGACATTCAAAAAAAACCAAAACATAGCAAAAAAAATGTAGAAACGTTTCGTCTCTCATCCTGAGGACTTCCTCAGTCTGAGGTGCTGTATTCAGCTCAGTCTCTTAAATAGCACCTTCTCAGAGTGGATCAACCAGTTTGCTGCTGACAACCAGAACCAGCTGATCACATGCTCAAGAAGGACCATCATCCTAACAATGGATCATTAGCACCTGATGGCTGTTTACTATTCACAGAGGGCTGAGTGATACTAGCAATCACAGCATTGTAAGAGGGGGACAGTTGAACCTGGAGGCTCCACCCCTGTTTAATGATGGACGGTTTCTTTTCACAAAGATGGCCTCCTTTACTCCTCTCTCAAACCATCGTTCCTCTCTGTCCAGGATGTGAACATCTTCATCCTTGAAAGAGTGACCGCTGGCCTGGAGATGAGTGTAGACCGCAGAGTCCTGGCCTGATGATGTTGATCTTCTGTGCTGGGCCATCCTTTTGGCCAGTGGCTGTTTAGTTTCCCCGATGTAAGACTGATCACCCTCCTGACACTGAACAACATACACAACATTACTCTGTTTGTGCCGGGGGACTGGATCTTTGGGATGAACCAGTCTTTAATGTATTTTGGGGTTTAAAAGCCACTGGGACGTTATGTTTAGAAAATAAACGTCTCAGTTTCTCTGATACTCCCTCAACATCTGGAATGACCACTGGTCTGGGTCTGGGTTCCTCCTTTTCACCTGATAGCTGACTGGAGTCCTGTTTGGGTTTCTTCTCTGCTTTCAGGAAGGCCCAGTTAGGATATCCACATTGCTCTAGAGCAGGGGTGGGCAATTATTTTTTCCATGGGGCCACATGAGAAACAGCAAATATTGTGGAGGGCTGGCACAAATGACTTTTTCATTCAACCTTTATTTATTCAGGTAAATCCCATTGAGCCTCGAGGACTCATTTACAAGAGAGACCTGATTTCAACTTAACTCAGTACTGCATAATATTAGTATTTCATTATTAAAAGAAGTACATAGCACTGTTTTAACAACCCGGTAAGAGTATTTGTTATGATTAAGCAACGAAAAAGCGAGGTTTCCTTACAAAAAATGTCATTTATTAAATTAAATTTCCCAGTACAATGGTAAACTGTTAACATCTTTACCATTTGTGACGTTATATTAATGATCATTTTCAGTCACATTCACCCCAAAACTCATTTTGAGTTTTATGTACTGCTGGAAAAAGTTCTTATCTTTGTAAATATATCACAATATTGTCTTTGTACTCCAAATATTATGA